GTATGCTTGACCTATTACATTTAAATTCATAATTTTGTACTTAAAAAGGAATTACTTGTATTAATCTTTGATGTTTTTTTAATGAATAGAAAGTAAAAAATGTCTTTAAATTCAATAAAAATGCATTATATACCCAGTAAAATAAATTGCATACATATAAAAAATGTATCGAATATTTAATAAAGATTTTTCGTTCATACATCTCACAGCACTTTTGTATAGGTACAAACAGCAATTGAGTTTCACATGACAAAGTGGACATTCGACAGGTTTCGAATCATTTGATGTAGCCTCGGGCGTTGTCATCGACACTGCTTCGCCAAAATGAATATAGTTTGAGTAACGTTTAACTGCCAAGAAATTATGAATGTATTCATTTTATATAAATAAGATTATGATGTTTCATGCTAAAATAAATGGTGTTTTGATTCGAGTTTCAGTTCTCCGGATAAATTTAAGGTAATTAATTATAAGTATAATTCACTAAAACTTAAATAAATAATTTTAATTTATTCAAGTAAGTAACACCTATGTACGAGTACTTCTTTTGAAAGTACATACTTATTAATTCATTTTCAAGGGCCTTGATAAAATTGACGTTTTTCTTAATATATTGTCAAAGTTAGTACTGCGTATAACTTATTCTTTTTATTTCTGAATTCAAGTCCCTTAAGACTTGTACTTGTTTCAAATCTTAGACGCCCGGTAGAGGAACCAAGTTCAACGTGGCCAATGGCTCATACTAACTGACCCTATAGTAGGTATATATGTATTTAAAGGTTTTGTATTTGGATAAGTGTAGGTATTTTTTATTTATGCAGAGTGGAATTAAAGTTTTTATTTCATATCTTATGTGCTAAAAAACATTTCCATTTGCTCATTCCATGTTGTTAAGATGATTTTTATAACCTAAATGTAATTTTCTACTGAATACTTACGATATAAAATTCAGTTTCGATTACATTATAAAACTACTTTAATTAGTCCAGTATCTTTACAAAAATAAATAGCAATCTCACAGTATACAAATTTGTTCATGATCAATAATAACTTTTACAATGATTAATTTTATATTGCATAGGACTTTCTTTCTGTTTCATTAATTCACTGTCACACAACTTTTAATTTGGGTGCAGTTTTTTGGTATAAATATCATTTGATCAATTGTGGTTGCAAGAAAAACAGACAGACAGGCTACAAATTTGAAACCACAATCTCAACTCGCCTAATTGAAACATTAACTCAGCCACAGCACAAGAAAAATAAAGTATCCATGTTTATTGTGTTTGGTTTTGTTTAATTCACCGTCATTTTAACGAATCTCGTACTTTACGAAGACAAACATACCTTTTAACATTAAGCCCTTTGTGGGTGATATCTACTTAATTATGATTTATTTACGTTTTACAGTTACATATAACTTTATTACACAGTGAACTTGTGGGAGCAGTCTTTAAATATAGTTACTGCTTCATATTAAGACAATCCATTTGATAATCATTAATATAACGTAGATGTCAAACAGTGTTCATAAGAAATGAATATAGCAGTGTATAAAATGATCTTCGATATTATAATTCATAAAACAAGAACAACTGAACACTTTATGGCCTTTTAAGGGTACGCAAGCAATATCCACGTTTCTCCAAATGTTACGTGTGCCGGATTGAAGTGTAAACTTTTCGCAAAATGTATTTTTAGATATATAATATTTCAGGAGAAGGTTTCTTGGGCTGTATTCGAGTACTTTTTAACTTAAATTTATGAAAATGTCTAAAAATGGGTAGCATATAAGATTATTGCTACAACATTTTATAGAAATCGAACATCGTTTCGAAAATTGTTTCTTGTTTCATTAAATTAAATAGCCTATATTTATTGTGTATATTTTATTTCATCATCATCAGCCTATCAGGACCCAGTGCTGAGCAAAGGCCTCTTTCTCACATGGAGAAGGTTTGAGCATTAATCACCACGCTTGCTCAAGACGGGTTGGTGATTTCAAACTTATAATTGTGAAACTATAAGTCCAGGTTTCCTCACGGTGTTTTCCTTCACGGTATGTCAGTGGTGTCTAAAAGTGGTGTCAGTGGTTTCTCAGAAAGTACATATGACTCCGAAAAATCACATTGGTACTAGCCAGGTTTGAACCCGCACCCTCGGCAACGAGAGGCGGGCCCTTTAACCACTAGGCCACCAGTTACCTATACATTTTGGATATTATCATTTATTTACGAATGATAATATCCAAAATGTATATGGATTCAGAGTGCAATTTTAAACTTAAAAGTTAATAATAGTGACTACACATAAAAAGACTTGTAGAAAAAGCTTACATCCTTTATATTTATCCGACAGTTAAAAGTCGATCCAGGACCATATCTAAACTAAGTTAAGACACAAAAATCTAATAAGAAAGGACATTGACAAATTTTATCAAGTCTATCAATGATCATTGAAGTGATTTTAGATCAGTGATTTTAGCGAATCAGTTTGATGAGATACAATGTTTGGCATGATATTATAGTATATTGGGAAGTATGGATAACTTTTGTAATAACAGATAACTTAAGGTCATGTATTTTGATCCATAAAAGCCACAACCCGGTTTAACGGATTGTGGCTTCAACTGGAAATGTATTACTCGTTAATATGCTATAGCAAAATTAATTTGCAAAGTTATTGCTATAAACAAAGACCCATGAACATGGAAAGCAATATTCACAAACATTTTTACAATGCTGCCCTCTATGAACCTCTAGAGACACTAATCAGATTTTAGTAGACATGAAGCCAAATAGTTATTTACTTTGTGCAATAGATGACAGTATAAATATTTAAATGTAAAAGGTAGTAAGAAATATCAATTTAAATTTGAAAATTAAAATGAAAAAGAAGAAAAATTAAAAAAAAGTTTCAAAAACAAAAGAAATTTTTAAAACAGATAATAATTTATTACTTTTCATATTTTCTTTCGCATTAACTGGAAACATTTACTATAATACAATTTTATAAGTGATTACAAACATAATTTATCCTGAATAAGAAAAATATAGAATATAAAACACGTCTGTGATAACGACAGTGATTATATTATCACAATTATGTAATCATTATTTTGCGAGTTTTATCTCGAATGTAAAATTTAAATAGTTACAGTGATAGGCTCCACTTTACATATATAACGATTTTAACGTCTATACGTCCATTTTCCCTTAGCAATCGAAGTTTTTATCAAATATGTAAGTGTAAATTAACCTTTCGCTATATCAAAATGGTCACTTTACTGGCTGTGTAAATCTATTATTTATTTTTAGTTTTATTTGTATTATCATAATTTCGTAATATTTGATCATAACAGAGATGTTAATCCTTGAATTAAACTGATTATGAAGTTCCCTAGGTCAATAGATACAAACCCAAGGTTTGATGAAATAAATATATAAACAACAAATATGTGTTTTCCTTCCCATTTATAATGTCCTTAATAATGTAGGTAGTATTATAGCACCTAGAAATTAAAGACATTCAAATCAATCTGAAAAACAAATTTTTAGGTAACATTACGATTGTCTTGACTTCTGTAACTAAACCTGAAGCAAATTTGGACTCAGTGTTTTGCTTATACTTTGGATTACGAATATTTTAAATAGCATTTATGTCTCGTTTCAATAAGTACCCTGTAATGAAAATAAAAACTGACTAAGTCAATATTTGTATTTTTATTAAATATCTGGAAGAACTTAAAAGATAGAAACAATAACATTCCAGTCGTTTATAGCCAAAGAAATACATATATACATACAGTCAGTTGAAAACCATGATCCTCTTTCGATCGCAGTCGGGTAAAAAGACATTGACTTTGACACCTCTAGCAATATTTGTTCAAACTTTTTACGTAACGTAGAGACTGAGGACAACCACCGGTTCAAGGCTTAGTTGTTGTCAAGGTGAACTCAACAATTATGAAGTATTTTAAATAATGTGAAAAAACTCTCATACGGTTTATTTATTGGTAACCAAATGTTTAATTGATTTTTGCCTAATTAGCATTTTCATATAACTTTACAGTTTAGAAACTCCTCTTCTCTTTGAGCTATGGTAATTATTTTGAAATTAGAAATAGGAGATAATCCTTTTTAACTGGGTCTCAATTAGTTAACATTACAAAGATAAGCTAACATATTATTTCAATATTATTATATATGATTTATGTAATCTAACCAGAGAAACTATTAAATATATTTGAAATTACTTGAACATTTTATTTTTAGATATACAGAAGTTATAGCATTTCATAAAATATACGACAACAAATAGACTTTGTTGTATGAAGAGAATATTTATTTTGCACCCGATCTATCACTGTTAGCTTATCCTGCTGTTGTCTGTCTACTTTGTAAACTCTGACGTGAATACAAATACGACAACCAATACATATTCTAGTGTAGTCAATCAGTGCAAGCAAACATCACTTAATTCTTGTTTTACAACATAATATTTGTGTTTGATTTTATATGTAAAGAGCAAAGTTTAAACTTTTAAAAGATCTCAATACATTTTTAAACATTGCTGTCGTCTTACTTTGCATAGTAAGACATTTTTTTATTACTATATATCGGGGGTTTATTTATAGTTTTGTAAATAAGAAACTCTATATATTGAGTGAAATATTCTATATTACATTATAACGTAACATTGAATAAAAAAATAAATTAATATTATAAATTTTATTATTAAATAAAAATTTACTAAATAACAATATATTTTACGTTTGATTAATACTAGAAGGTTATTCTCGACAGCATATTTATAAATTCTATAGAACCTTCAATGTTTACGTACAATAAACTGCTATAGACCTTATGCTCCTTGTAAAACCAAGGAATGTAACTACTATGTTCCGAAGGCTGCGTATAACAGATTCGAAAAATCAGTCAAGTCACTCTTTTATAATAGTGATACAATACTGCTATTAGTTTTAAGTGCTATTTTGAAAATTACAAGAAGACATTGCCAAGCCGAAAGCCCTGAGACTTCGGTTTTGTGAACAAATTTGAGGCAGTCTTGAAAATACTGATAAAAGGCCTGAAGGTAGAAGTTTCCTGGTAGTAGTTTCTTGGTGGTTGATATTGATATTGATATTCATTGTTGAATTGTTTGAAAAATTGGAAGTTGTAGCCTGGAGCTTCCGCTGTGCTGTCGGGAATGACATTCGAGATGTAACCATTATTGTTGTCCACGTTTTGGTAACTTGAAGTGGCAGTATAGCTCGTCGCTGTAATAAAAAGAAAGGATTACTTTACGGAATCTTGAAGCTTATTTAAAATGAATTAATTGCACTGAATTGATTAATAATTTTAAATATTTAAATACAAGAATACATTGGAAACTTACAGCAAAGACCAGAATATTTCCTGGAATCGGCGAGACCATGGGCGCTGCAAGATGGGCTCCCCTTCTCATAAGGATTTGATCCGATCACATTTCCACCGGGCCCGTAGTTACAGACATACAGCTTAGTGTATCCTCGGCTAGGGTCGTAGTAGAATGTGTAGCCACAACCAACATGTGATGTTTCACCCCATACAAGCTGATGAATAAAACAAATTATTATTATAACCATTCACAAACAAAAGTATCGAAACTCAATTAATTAATTTATTTTAAAATTAGAAGCATTTAAAGCTCTCATTTACCTGAGAATAGTGGCCGGTTCCATGACCACCATTGATGGGTTTGAAACCGTAAATTTTAACTTCGTCGAACCAAGCGTCAATTTGCTTCATGAAGTCTGGCTCGGAGTCTGATTGGTCAGATGGTGGGCGGGTTGTCCAAGTGGCTGCCAAATTTTGCCCCACAGGAAACCGTCCAACATCTCGTTGAGATGCACGATCGTGTGCTGGCGTACACTGATCAGACCAGCGCTGTGCTGTCGCCGCAAGTTCATCGTCCCATACCTAATAACAATAAAAGTAAGTTGTTTTATGACAGTGAATTCTTATGGAACATAAAAAGAAAAGTTTATTTAATAGCATTCTATGCACGCTCAGGACGCTGAACCTTCGCGAGGTCAATGTCATAGACTTTACTCATACGATCACTTTCGATTACTCTCTCACTTACAACAAACACTTTGAAAATGTATAAGTAAACTTCTTAATATGAAAAGTGTGGGTATAATAATTAAATTTTATTTTTGTGATTTGAACTGTGTTTTAAAGCATATATTAATTTCGATTCCAATCTTTTATTCAAACGACGAAATACAAATTAGCCTCATAAACATTTAGTATCCCGTTAATTCTTTTGATTATAATTAACTTTTCCCTGTGTGGTCATTTTGCTTTGTTTTATAATAAAATATACATACATATGTATAAATTTGTTGCTGCACGTGAAACTGAATTGATATTTTATGCAAAACGAAATGGTGTCACGTTTAAATAAAATTGACAAAAAATCATTAAAATACTTCATTGTGAATATATTTGACATCAATGTTCCGAATTATTTTTATTTAATCATAAAACTTGTTTTATTTCTTTTTTTTTTAGAAGAATTTGTGAACCCTCTCACTTGATATCTTAGAATAACTTGGAAATATATATTTTTTAATACCACGGATATATAAGAGATATGCGACAAACTAAAAATATTTTGTGAAAAAATTATTGTGACATTTGTAATTTTTATTGCTTCATTTCATACACTTAATTTTTTTATGATGATCGTTAAAATTTGATCATTCTTTTAAGCAATGATTCTCTACACTAAATTTGGGTGATATTTTAATTTTATTACATACCATTTCCATCATATTGGCTGCTGGGGGCTGACTTAACACTTGACCCAAAGCTACCGACTGCCTTAGACGATTGTGTGCATCTACGATAGCTTGCTTCTCATATGCAGTAAGTCCTCCAGATCCTTAAAAAAGAAAAGATACATTCAAAATTAATTGTTATATCGTAAAAATGAATTGTATTTTTATCCGAAGCTCAAATATTCTCTAATTATAAAAAAAGCATAGTGATCATGATCTTTAATATGTATGTGTCAAGCTAATAAATAATACAGTTTCGTCTATGATTTCATAATTCTACACCCAGATTCAAAAGACCCGTGCGTGTTAAGGTGTCTCCATCAATAAAATTTTATTATCTTGTTTGATACGAGTATGCAAAAGAGATATTCTGATTAAAATTCACTCTCGTAATCTAGACTTAGTGGCGGCGATTTAATTTATTAGTGATATAACTATAATTTAATTTTTTTATGTCGTATCAGTAAAGTCAAAACTTTATTTTATAAAATGTTAGGGGTAGCAATTTACTTTGGACAAATGATTACCAAATGGATTAAATGATTGTATTTATTGATTCTGTTTGTTGAAGAAATATTTATTACTAAAGTTAAAGTATAAGAAAATAATTGAAGTTTAAAATATTTCAACTTACTTAACATCTGTTTTCCAGGTCCACAACCCTCTGTTCCTGCGAGGAGTACTCCCAAAACAAACACTAGGGATATCATCTTCATAATATTTCACAACACTTAACTGAAATTAAAACACGTCTTACTTTTGAGATTCGTAACAAAAGCTTCCACTTATATTTACGAAACGTCAAATATAATTAACCGGTAACCGCTGCACAGTGCGTGCGGCGCGCTCTCCGGACTTAAGCAATCTAGTGTTGTTAATAGCTGGGCGCGCGCTTAAATATCATCTGCCCCGTTACCATGGAGACATCGAGACGCCACCACACGTTGATTCTGAACATTGCTGCTCTAACACTAAGTCGTGCCTGCTGCCAATTTTATTTCAATAATATTCTACCCTTAAACACCTATACTATTCCAAAATATAATTTACAAAAACACGTTAGTTAACATCAAGTATCATATATATATAGCTTTTAGTATTTTCAGTTATGAAATAAATAAAGGTTAAGCGGACGTCGTTCAGCTACTTTTTATCTGCAGTAATAATTTAAAACTCATTATTCGGCAGCCGCTTGTTGTCAATGAAATCGAGTTCTTGTGATACGTCTGAGCCAAAGGTGGAAATATGTTGACAGATATTGGTCAGAACGGAAGTGGTCTTTAAGTAAAATTATAGGTGGCTAAAAACAAGGAAAGAATAACACAGCCATTTATGAGTCAGAGGCTACTTAATTTTATGGTTTTCGCAATATAAGGGAAGATGGTCTCATAGGCATGTAAACAGTCAAATTTCGTGTTGCATTTTTGCATGCTCGATGCCATCTTTGTTCATAAAGAAATGTATAAAGTTATTTTCATATTTAAAATAATTATTAATTTTCCACTCCTATTCTAATAGTCGTATGTTTAAAATGTATGTGTATTCTTATATAAGGCATCATTATCTGTTCCTTAAGTTCTAATATATTAATACAAAAAAATGTTCCGTTCAAAAATTATATTGTTCAAAGCTGATTAAAATTCATATTAAATAAAAAGTTTAAGCGCTTCATAAGATTCGAGTTCTTCAATTAAATATTTAAAATCACTTTTAAATTGTAAAATGACACGTTCTAGGAGCCATCTTGTCTGTTGCCAGCTGAGCCGGTTTATCACTTGAGTTGGATTTTGCCTGTAGTTGTTTTATTTGCATATTAATATCCTTCATTTTACAAAAATACAAGATAGGTATTTAAAGATTTGAAACAAAATTGAGATCGTTTACTTAAATTAAGTATTATATTTCAAAATATTGCTATTTGTTCCTTTTTGGGATTCCGTACTTCAGATATATAAACGGAATCTTTAGATTATTATACATATTTTCACAAACTTGCTCTCAGGAATATTTGGAGGTATGAAATTGTAATTAATATATAACACCTAGTTAATCTATCGTTAGAAATAATAAAAAGCTAAAAGTATTAGACAAACACAATATAAATAAAGACTTATTAAAGCATTCTCTATTTCAGTTTGTTAATGTTCGCCGGAATATTAAAATCTATAGAAGTTTTTACTTGATGAAAAAACATGACATTCTGGCAAACCGAATGATGTGTCATTTAATCTTTTTTCCTACGGAACCAATAAATTTCAAAGCATTTGCAACTTCCAACATTTTTATAATGATTATACGATTTTTTTATTTCCTATCTTAAATATATCTAGTCAATAACATATAAATATCTTCTTATTTTATATTGAACAAAAGAATAAAGTTTTAAAGAGGGTCCCATTTAATTCGGTTAATATTTTATTGTATCGATAGGCAAATTGACAGTTTGATGAAACTTTCTAGAGTTACATCGAATTCATCAAACCTTGTTCTGTTGACCTTGAATATATGCTCTTATAATATTATTAAATAAACCAGTAACCAGATAATAGGCTGACAAAAATTAATAAGTTTTTTTAAAAGAAATTATTAACTACGATATTTTATTTTTTTTTGTATCAAAAATTACGTACTTAATTTTTTTCATTGAAATTATGATACTCGTTTTTTGAAATGCGATATCGTTTTTTATGCCAAAAAATAACTTTTATTAATGAGACTTTACAAATATGTAGGTAGCTTGAAGTTAGAAAAAAAATTGTAGTCTGTCTTATTTAGGTATTTTGATAAATTTTTACAGTCCTCTGTATTTGGGACGAAGTTAGCATACGATGATTACATTTTATTTATGCATTTGTACGAATGAGTAATTGTTCAAATTATTAAAATCCTTGATTTATGATATCTTTGACAGTATTTGCTTTATATAAATACGGAAGCTCGATCAGAGTAGATGCATCATTCGGCATAAATTATGTAAATTATTCACATTTAACTGTTTGATTATCGAATAATAAATCAGCTTTTAAGAGGGAAAGCATAATTAGACAAGGACAAGACAATTAGTTTACAATATAAGGATGTTTCTTGTTGGGACACAAAACTAGAAAGTTGACTTTATTTGAACGCTATTTTAAACGTTATTACTTCTTATTCATTAATGACAATAATCCTATATGATGTAGTATTATATATGGAAAATATTTGTAGAATCAGTCTTATACAGTTTTTATTAAACACGATATGTTGTCATGTTGTCTTAGATATATATACGGAGATGTTTCTCACCTCATCAGTCATACATGATCATTTACACAATGTTTTATGATGATATTATTTATGAAAAATTAAAAAAAATATTATTATACTATCAGGCATATTTAGATCGAGTACTTTCTCAAATAATATGTGGACAATATAAAAAGATTTTAATGTACCTATTCCAGTTATGTACAAAATAGTTATAACAATAAATTTGAAAGGAATTTTCTGACAAACGCTGCAATAACCTTAAAAATAACGAATTTTTGTTATGAACTTAAGGATCCTTTATTTAAAATTGTTGTAAACAATTATTTTTTTATATGTACGATGCAAAATACGTGTTTCATTTAATATATTATAAAATCATGACTCGTATCAGGAAATGATATAAGGATGGGTATGAAGTTAATGTCTTACGTTGTCAGCCGTAACAAATGTATAGAGAATATGAAGATATCAAACAATCAGATAATTTATTTTTTATATAATTTACCTCTATATTTAAAGTTTAAATGCCATATGTTAATAATTATATATATAAAAAACTCCAAAAGATACAGTACAGAAACCTAAAAAACTTCGATGTTTTGTAACGCGTGGAGCGTTTCGATTTGACGCTAAGCAAGTTATTCTTTTAATTTTTTTTACACAAAGTGATTAAAAACTACACACAATTGTTAGAATCTAATATCATAATCTTCAAAACATTTTCGGCGTTCCCCAGTATTTATTATTAAAACTAGTGGCATATAGTTTTACTTCTAAAGACTGAATCTCCACTTTACATTACTCATCAATAAGCTTAGTATGAGTTGACATCGTCAGACTCTATTACCTTCACACATTATAAAGAATAAAATTAAGTTATTGAATGGTTAACTATCAACGCCGTGTATGTAGTGTTACGATTCAAAACTTGGACTATGAATAGTTATTTATAAAATAATTTAAAGTGAACATAACGTGTGATATTTGGTGAGCATGTTTGATCGTCACCAACACATTACATCCTGCTAAAATCTTTTCCAAATATTATACACAACACCGATTATAATACAATAAATCTCATACAAAGTTAGTGTTAATACCATTTAGAATTAGATGACCTTACGCTGTTTATGTGATTTGTATGTTTTATAGTAATACTAAAAAAAATTGTCTAATATTATTATAAATAACAATAAAAATAATAATCGTCAATGAAATGCTTATTTCAGTAGAACAGTACAAGATAATCATTTATTAAATGCAAAATCACAGTACAAAATCTCGATCCAGTCGCCACACTGTCTGAATATCGAGGTTATTAAATTAATAAATCAATTCAACAAAATAACTTTAAGATAAATATCAAGCTATTAAAGCGGACGCTTCATTAATAATTAAAAACAGCATTTAAACATGTGATGTGTTTTCTTCTATTTAAGAACAGATTAATGATGACGATTTAAAACACGGTAGTCGTTTTAAAAGGATCATGGTAAATTTTTATTAGATAGGAAATTTATTGTGGTTTAATCCCATTCTATGTCTTAATTACGAAATTATTCAATAAGGGAACGAGATGAAATACGTATCAACTTTCCAATGAACATAGATTAATTGATAATAATAATTTATGCATAATAGTTCATTAGTTCTGTTTACCTCATATATTTTTTTACCAAAAGGAAAGATTTATTTTCGTGTCGGAACTTGTTTAAGATTTTAATTTCTCAGAAACTCGCTCTTGTTCCAAAAATATTAATGATGCATGACCTAATAAAATAATGTGTTATTTGATATTAAACAATATTTATTGAATTTTATAACGAGAGTTATGTTTAAAAGATATCATTTATTTTTGTCTTAATAAATTCGATCTCAGTCATTTCTGATAAACATATATATTTGAAAAATAAATTAATTGACAACTGTTGTCAACTAATGAATAGTATGTACATACATAACAAATTTATTTGTCATATGAAAGTATAAACAAATATTTGCTTCACGGTTCTGAGAACTACTTTCCCATTAATCATCAATAATGTACTTTTACCAGAATGACAAGGACAATTTATGAATAAGTACTTTCTCTATTTGATTGACAGTAATCAAACACTTCCATACCTACAAAGTGACTTAATAATATCTTACGAACACTAGTTTTGAATGTAGCTCTGCTAGGTTTTATGTAAAATATTTAGTTTTCTTCCTATATCTTTATCAAAATGAGTTGATAATTTTGATACTATAGGCTGAATAAGCGAGAAAATTCGATGAACATGCAAATTGACGTTTATATGAGTAACACACATGCTTTGTATGTTTTTAGAGATAAGAATGATAATATTGTATTGTTTTTATGAAAAATATGTAAATATTGTCACAATTTATAATATACTGTTACCTTGCAACGTCATAATAAAAGTATTGTATTAAATGAATTTTTATCCTAAGTTGTAGT